TGTTTAGTGTTGACTGCTCAAGAGTTACTCTGTCAAACTTACGGAGGCAGTTCTTGCTGCATCCACAATTCTGGAGCTGAGCAAATTCAGGTGCAGGAGGAGCAGCAGCAGCAGGGACGTTCTCCACTATTGCTTCGTCTTCCACTGTTAGATTTTCTTCATCAGCAATAACTCCAGCCTCATCAGAGTCGCTTTGAGGCTCTACATGCAGGTAGTTCGCTGTTACAACATCGGAGTTCACCCTGGAGTTGAGGTAGTGGAGTTAGTCTGCGTCGTCAGTGTCAACTATGTTACTTGCGATTCTACGCCCTGTTCAGCAATTTCCTGACCAGAATCTTGAAGTGGAGCGACAGAGCTACTCTCAGGATCGCCATGAAACTCATCTTCGCACTCCCTGAGCACGTCAGCAAGAGCTTCATCGACAGTGAAGACTATTCTTCGACTCATGGCAAGAGCGAGAAAAAATTGTTGAGAAAGAAGCTCTCTCAAGAAAACAAGCGCAGCTTCAAACAAATGAATCTCAGCAACGCGAGGACCGATTTGCAAAATCTAAAGACTGGTGGAAAGCTTAGACCGTCAACCCCATTCTTGTGTCATCGACCTGCGCAAAATTGCGAAAACGCGCGAGATTATACAGAATCGCAGCGACTCAACTTCAAAATCCACGCAAAAAGCGCACGTCAAACTTTGAAGTGCTTTTTGACAGCTTCAAGTGCAAGTACGTTAGCCCCCTTTTCGCGTGCGCTGGTTATATTAAGAAGCAGAGGCAGAGGCAGATAAAGATAGAGGCCTCTGATTCTGCTTCTAAATCTGCCTTTGAATCTGTCTCCAAATCTGCCTCTTAATCTGCCTCTGCCTCTGCCCCTGCCTCTGCCTCTGCCTCTGCCTCTGCCTTTAAATCTGCCCCTGACTCTGCCTCTGCCTCTGCCTCTTAATCTGCATGTTAATCTGCCTCTGAATCTGCCATTAAATGTCCCTCTTAATCTGCCTTCTAAATCTGCCTTTTATTTCTGCCTCTGCCTTTTCCTCTGCCTTGTACCCTGCCTCTAAATCTGGCTCTGAATCTGGCTCTGAATCTGCCTTTGAATCTGTCTCTGAATATGCCTTTAAATCTGCCTCTGAATTTCCCTCTGAATCTGCTTCTAAATTGTCTGCTTAATCTGGCTCTCAATCTAGCTCTAAATCTGCCTCTGCATTTGCCTCCGCCTCTTCTTTTGCCTCTGCCTCTGCCTCTGAATCCGCCTCTTAATCTGCCTCTAAATCTGCTTCTAGATCTGGCTCTACATCTTTCTCTTAATCCGGCTCTCAATCTGCCTCTAAATGTAAATCTGCCTCTGCAGAGGCAGGAGCAGAGCAAGAGGCAGAGGCAGAGGCAGATTTACAGGAATTTTTCCAGGAAGAATTAGAGGCAGATTTAGAGGCAGAGGCAGGGACAGAAAAAGAGGCAGAGGCAGAGGGAGAAGCAGATTTAGAGGCAGAGGCAGATTTAGAGGCACAATTAGAGGGTGCTTTAGAAGCAGATTTAGAAGCAGATTCAGAAGCAGATTCAGAGGCAGATTCAGAGGCAGATTCAGACGCAGATTTAGAGGCAGATTCAGAGGCAAATTTAGAGGCAGATTCAGAGGCAAATTCAGAGGCAGATTCAGACGCAGAGGCAGAAGCAGAGGCAGAGGCAGAAACATGGGTAGAGGCACAGGCAGATTTAGAGGCACTGGCAGATTTAGACACAGATTTAGAGGCAGATTTAGAAGCAGATTTAGAGACAGATTTAGAAGCAGATTCAGAAGCAGATTCAGAGGCAGTTTCAGAGGCAGATTCAGAGGCAGATTTAGAGGCAGATTCAGAGGCAGAGACAAATTTAGAGGCAGATCAAAGGCAGATTCAGAGGCAGAATTAGAGGCATAATAAGAAGCAGAGGCAGATGCAGACAGAGGCAGAGGAGTCTGAATCTGCATCTAAATCTGCCTCTGAATCTGCCTCCAAATCTGCCTCGTAATCTGCCTCTGCCTCTGCTTCCAGTGGCGGGTTTAGGGGGGGGCGCGGGGGGCGCGCGCCCCCCCCCCCTCAAAAATTTCGACCTAGGTTTCGAAAAATAATACAGGGCGCGCGCCGGGTCGAGCTAGACTAGGCTCGGGGCGCGTGCGCCGCGCGGCCTGAAACGATTGTCCAAAAGCGGTTGCACGGTGCTAGTACAGTACGAGTACACTGTACAGTCTACACAGACTACAGAGCTAGAGACAGAGTAGAGTCTACGTACAGTGAGCATGCACGGCTACAGTACAGAAACACGGTGACCTGACTGTGTACTGTTGTACAGTGTGATCCCTGCTGGGACGCGCTCGACGCGTCTTCAACGGTACAAACATCGAAAAAAAGTCTTCGATCGAGTCAACCAAAACACGATTCGAATGCCGAGGGCTCAGGCGATCATCCTCGTTCGAATCGTGTTTTGGTTGACTCGAAGGCTTTTCTTCGATGTCTCAGGGACATCCCAAAAGGCCAAGCTCTAGCCAGCAGAGCCTGGAATTTTTGTAAAGCGTTCCTGTGGCGGCGCAACTCCTGCTGCCGCTCCAACAGGAAACAGTGGGAGTGATGAAGTCGCTGTTATTCCAGACAATCCAGTTGAACTTTCGGAGCGGACTGACAGTCAAACTCCGCCAGACGTGGAAGAACCTGTTGTCAGCGAGCAGCCAGAACATAAAGAACAGCGCACAGTGACAAGTACCGCTGCCTATGTAAAGGATGCTTTGAGAGCGGTGAGAAATTGTTGGACTCGCATATTAAAACAAAAGAAAAAAAGCAGTTGATTCGCTCACATAACGGCAAATTTGAAGTTTACAATGTACATTTGTTGCAGCGTGTACAGAAATACTGCTCGTGAGTCGTGGTGTGTGAGATTTACGGCTTGTTGTTGTTGTTTATTTTTACTTCACCAAATGAACAGACAGAGATGCCTTCTCACCTGCCCCGGCATAGGACAGGTTCTCACAGAACGATGAAGGATGATATGCAAGGGAAAACAAGAAAATTAATGATAATAATAATAATAACTTATAAGACAGAAAGGACCAAAAGAAGAAAGGGAAAAATTTATATCAAGAACAATTTCATGGAGTCAGAAATAGAAAGACAATAATTTCATGGAGTCAAAGAATAGAAAGACAATCTCATCGAGTCAGGAACACGTGGTTGATTTTATAGACATGCATGCACAAATGATTGATAGATGAGAAGGTTGGAATTTATGGCAGATAATAAAAGTTTAACGAGGACAAAGTAAGTATATCAATGGCAGAAAGAGCTTTTCGGAAGGGACCAGGGACACGTATCACTCTAAAATCAGAGGGGAGAGCGTTCCAGAGAATGCTTCCCCAAAACATCATGCTCGATCGTACCGCAGGCCCACCGTCGGGACTTGAAGCAAGTTCGACACTTGTCCCCGTGTGGTGCGCTGATCCTCCGGAACAATCTCTGGGGCCGTTCGGGTGAATAACTGTTGAAGAAGGGGCTACAGGAGGAGCTTCTTGACATTGATTTTCAAAATGGCTGACCTGGGACAGTAGCATGATGTCATCTACCCCCACCCCATCCCGCCTTGATCCCGGCCGCAACCCCCCCCCCCCCCTCAGCCAAATCCTGGACACGCCACTGGCTTCTGCCCCTGCCTCTAAATCTACCTCTGCCTCTTCCTCTGCGTCAGTCTCTGCCTCAGCCTCTGTCTCTGCTTTTTAATCTGCATCTTAATCTGCCTCTTAATCTTTCTCTGAATCTGCCTCTGCCTCTGCCTTTGCCTCTGCCTCGTACCCTGCTTTTGAATCTGGCTCTGAATCTGCCACGGAATCTGCCTTTGAATCTGTCTCTGAATTTGCCTTTAAATCTGCCTATAAATCTGCCTCTGAATCTGCCTCTAAATGTGCCTCTAAATGTAACTCTAAATCTCCCTGTAAATCTAAGTCCACCGCTGCCTCTGCCTCTCTGCCTCTGCCTCTAAATCTTCCCCTGAATTTGCCTCTGAATCTGCTTCTAAATCTTCCGCTTTATCTGGCTCCAAATTTGGCTCTAAATCTGCCTCTGCCTCTCCCCTGCCCCTGCAGAGGCAGAGGCAGATTTAGAGGAAAATTTACAGGAAGAATTAGAGGCATTTCGTACTGTCTACAATCTTCCCTTGTCCCGTGCTGCACTGTTCGTGGATACTGATCACACTCTGACCACACTCCAGTAAGGTAAAGATCTACGTGTAGCACTCCGTGTTGTGTTGCTGTTGAGTTTTCACTGCTGCACTCGGCCATGTCCTAGGCTGGAACTAGATAGCTAAAATGCAATGGACTATTCATACCAAGCGGTTCCAATCTCGCTGTGATTTTTCCTGTGAAATTGCCTGCGTCCTTCAACCATTGTTACATCTGTCTTTCCAGCCTTGTTTTATGGTACCTCTTGTCAGTTTCTTCCAATGGCAGTGTGGTCAAGTGACTGCACGGTCGCACTATTGAACATGTTTGTGAGGTCTTTTTCTGATTTAGGGAGTAGCGGTAATCTCAAATGTACATATCCAGTCAGACCTTGCTTAACCGCACACATCCATTTTCCGCTAAAATGTCCTGGTAGGCAAGGGAACTGAACACCGGTTATGTTGACTACACCGCGTATGCTGTAAATCTGTAACCAGCTATTTTCTTCGGGTTGGCGAGGGATCTGGATAAAAGAGGACCGGATAAGCGAGGCCTGACTGTATCGTGTGATTTCATGCGACGATTGGCAGGGAAATGTTTTCATCACACATGTTGGAATGCCTTCTATCTGATTGGGAGATTTTGCACCACTGATCAAGCATATGATCTTTCAAATGCATGTTCCGCATCACAAGTGTATACAATATCTACCATTGAAACTAGAACTTTGTGTATAGTGTGAGGATCATATACATATTGATGTTCATCGACCTGTCCTGTTTTGTCCTAGTACCTTTGCCACAGGTCTGTGTCTCTGTATGCTTACTACAGGAAAGGTGCAAACACTTCACACTCAAGCATGCATTGAAGGTGCATCATCAAGATGTGCAGTATACGCTACGTTTCATCATCTTAAGGACACAAATGACTACTTTCAGACCAGCCTGCAATAAGGTACTACATGTGTGCCATGTAACATTCTGTGACTTACTCATTGCTTTATTCAGTGTGTTACTGAGGAAACGCCCCCGGCTGCTTATTATGCCCATGTCTGGTTTATAAAATTGAAAGAAACTGAGTGGAACCAGCTAGAGAGACAAACCAATAGGGAGGTTTCGCTCTACATAATTACGTATGAAAGTCTGCATATCGTACGTGCCATGGAGAGACGGCAACTTTCATCCGTAAATCTCTCTAGCGATATCCGCAGGAAAGCGGTGTCCTACGTTCGGCCCTCAGTAGGATTTTTTGTATGGTTTTCGCAGTCTCTGGGTTTTATCCACGGCAAAGTTCAAGCTGCGCAAAAACACAATGTCCACAGCACGAGGAAAACTACCCTTCTATAATGTATTATATATACTAGTAAATCTGGAGAATGTGGTCTAGGTCCGTGGTGTATGCGGTGGGCGCATGCAGCGGATGCGATTTAGAGATTTAGAGACACATTCAGAGGCAGATTCAGCAGCAGATTCAGAGGCAGATTTCGAGGCAGATTCAGAGGCAGAGACAAATTTAGAGGCAGATTCAAAGGCAGATTCAGCAGAATGAGAGGCATATTAAGAAGCAGAGGCAAAGGTAAAGGCAGAGGCATATGAATCTGCATCTAAATCTGCCTCTGAATCTGTCTCCAAATCTGCCTCTTAATCTGCCTCTTAATCTGCCTCTGCCTCTTCCTCTGCGTCAGTGTCTGCCTCAGGTTCTGTCTCTGCCTTTTAATCTGCATCTTAATGCCTCTTAATCTATCTCTGAATCTGCCTCTGCCTCTGCCTTTGCCTCTGCCTCGTACCCTCCCTCTGAATCTGGCTCTGAATCTGCCACGGAATCTGCCTTTGAATCTGTCTCTGAATTTGCCTTTAAATCTGCCTATAAATCTGCCTCTGAATCTGCCTCTAAATGTGCCTCTAAATGTAACTCTAAATCTCCCTCTAAATCTAAGTCCACCGCTGCCTCTGCCTCTGCCTCTGCCTCTAAATCTTCCCCTGAATTTGCCTCTGAATCTGCTTTTTATATCTTCCGCTTTATCTGGCTCCAAATTTGGCTCTAAATCTGCCTCTGCTTCTGCCTCTTCCTCTGTGCCTCTTCCTCTGTGCCTCTTCCTCTGCCTCTGCCTCTGCCTCTAAATCTGCCTCTGCCTCTGCCTCTGCCTCTGCCTCTCCCCTGCCCCTGCAGAGGCAGAGGCAGATTTAGAGGAAAATTTACAGGAAGAATTAGAGGCATGTCGTACTGTCTACAATCTTCCCTTGTCCCGTGCTGCACTGTTCGTGGATACTGATCACACTCTGACCACACTCCAGTAAGGTAAAGATCTATGTGTAGCACTCCGTGTTGTGTTGGTGTTGAGTTTTCACTGCTGCACTCGGCCATGTCCTAGGCTGGAACTAGATAGCTAAAATGCAATGGACTATTCTTACCAAGCGGTTCCAATCTCGCTGTGATTTTTCCTGTGAAATTGCCTGCGTCCTTCAACCATTGTTACATCTGTCTTTCCAGCCTTGTTTTATGGTACCTCTTGTCAGTTTCTTCCAATGGCGGTGTGGTCAAGTGACTGCACGGTCACACTATTGAACATGTTTGTGAGGTCTTTTCTGATTTAGGGAGTAGCGGTAATCTCAAATGTACATATCCAGTCAGACCTTGCTTAACCGCACACATCCATTTTCCGCTAAAATGTCCTGGTAGGCAAGGGAACTGAACACCGGTTATGTTGACTGCACCGCGTATGCTGTAAATCTGTAACCAGCTATTTTCTTCGGGTTGGCGAGGGATCTGGATAAAAGAGGACCGGATAAGCGAGGCCTGACTGTATCGTGTGATTTCATGCGACGATTGGCAGGGAAATGTTTTCATCACACATGTTGGAATGCCTTCTATCTGATTGGGAGATTTTGCACCACTGATCAAGCATATGATCTTTCAAATGCATGTTCCGCATCACAAGTGTATACAATATCTACCATTGAAACTAGAACTTTGTGTATAGTGTGAGGATCATATACTTATTGATGTTCATCGACCTGTCCTGTTTTGTCCGAGTACCTTTGCCACAGGTCTGTGTCTCTGTATGTTTACTACAGGAAAGGTGCAAACACTTCACACTCAAGCATGCATTGAAGGTGCATCATCAAGATGTGCAGTTTACGCTACGTTTCATCATCTTAAGGACACAAATGACTACTTTCAGACCAGCCTGCAATAAGGTACTACATGTGTGCCATCTAACATTCTGTGACTTACTCATTGCTTTATTCAGTGTGTTACTGAGGAAACGACCCCCGGCTGCTTATTATGCCCATGTCTGGTTTATAAAATTGAAAGAAACTGAGTGGAACCAGCTAGAGAGACAAACCAATAGGGAGGTTTCGCTCTACATAATTACGTATGAAAGTCTGCATATCGTACGTGCCATGGAGAGACGGCAACTTTCATCCGTAAATCTCTCTAGCGATATCCGCAGGAAAGCGGTGTCCTACGTTCGGCCCTCAGTAGGATTTTTTGTATGGTTTTCGCAGTCTCTGGGTTTTATCCACGGCAAAGTTCAAGCTGCGCAAAAACACAATGTCCACAGCACGAGGAACACTACCCTTCTATAATGTATTATATATACTAGTAAATCTGGAGAATGTGGTCTAGGTCCGTGGTGTATGCGGTGGGCACATGCAGCGGATGCGACTCCAATGTAGTAAGGCATGCTTCAGATCGCGGAGAAATAACGAAGAGCGAAACCCAACAGCACGGATTATCACGTATGAAAATTACGTGCAGTTCCTATGTAAGTTTCATAGTCAAGTGGTTTGCTTCACTGTCCGAAAAGTGCTCAGTACCCATGTAGGGCAGAGCATTGTACACAAAATAGAGAGAGAGAGAGAGAGAGAGAGATTGGAAGCTTTGTCACAACTCTGAGTTTCACTTATTACTACGATCATCAGGCAAGGCAGGTTGTGTGTAAGTTTCGTACGTAATTACATGGAGCAAAACCTCCCCGATGCCCCGCGGGTAGCTAGCAAGAGGGCTGCTTCTTACCTCGAGCTTTGTGTAGTACTACATGTCGAGTCGATTATTGGATAACAAATAAGATCGGTTATTACAAGTGCACTCGGAGTCCCTGGAGTGAAAGTTAATCGCACGATGAATAGAAGGAGAGGACATAGCTGATTTTTGTTCGGCAGCTTACAGCCGAACAAATGAACAGTGCTTTCTTAGTTCCGTCCCTGGTATTTGTCACTCTTCGAGGTCAATTTCCATTGGCAAGAGCTACAGCGTATCATTAGAACCTATGTGTTCTTTGAGTTGGAGGATTGGTGTTCCATTCTTATCGGTCTTCGGTTATGTTCTCCACCCTATTTGAGTTCTTCTTCTTACCATCTTTATAGAGGACTCTTTATGCCAGGTTAATAGTAGTCAGTTTAGTTATATTCTCTAATGAGTGACTCAAAACTCTGAGTAACAACAGAGAGAAGACTTTGTTGTTCCGCTGCTGTGGGAATGTTGTGTTACATACTTGGCCCGGTTCATCGCAATTGTCGCTTATCTATCGCCTGAAGCATGATACATGAATACTCTCCGAAACTAGAACAAATTTCAACAATCGAATCTGATGAAAAAAGTCAAAGACATGAAGCAAGGCCAAGGTTACAAAAAATGTTTATACAAAAGAAAACAGCGATGGAACGCGTTGTTGCACTCACGCTTTCACAGGTCCTGAGTTCATCCGACTCTGTATCACTTGAGTTGCTGTCACTTGAGCTGACATTCGTTGGTGTGTTTAGCTGCTGGCGTAGAGTATCTCTTGCTTTCTCTGCCTGGTGTATGGCAGCGATGGGAAAGGAACAGTTGTGGCTGTCACTTCGGCGCTTTGAGGAAGGCGGGCAGCTTGACCTGTATGTCACCACCGAGTGTTTTAACAATGCCTTTAAATGAGGCACACCGCCCTCTCCAAACAGCTGTCATACGCCCCACTGGACATGCTGACCAGCTTCAGGAGTGCTAGTGCCACGACGGAACAACCAAAGCTTCTCGGGCATCGCATCGAAAACACCGTTCTTCTCCAGTATAACTCTGCCGTGACTGTCACGCTCTCCAGGTCAGGATGTCGATTTCCCCTGCTCCAGGTCCGGTCTTCGATCTGCTGCATGCCCTTGGATTTCGCTGCAGTGAATGTTTCCATTCACTGCAGCGAAAGGTTCCCCACTTTCCCATTAAATTCGTACGAATCGTAATGCCACTTGTGCTAGTCGCGATGATTTTTTTCTTTCTTGTCTCATCACAACCTCGCAAACGAAAGTGGCTAAGATATCGCGATCAGACTGGTTTTGCCTGTCAAAAGGTACGTGGAAGATAAGCGACAATTGCGATGAAATGGACCAAGTGTAATTATGTGTGCATACTCTGAAGATGCATCATGTACAAATGTAAACATTGCTGGGTTGCTTTTGTGTGTCGCTGATTTTTAGGTGATTTACGGAGGCTGTTCCGAGAGGCAATGGACTGGTCTGCAATTACTGGTCCTGTATTCCTGTCAATGGAGAAGCGATTTGGCCAGATCTTTGTTGAGTATTCCTTGTTGCGATGTCCTCTTACTCTTTCCCGTTCTCATGCATTCATCACCCTTGTAGTGGTTCTGGTAATAGGAAATAAAATCCTTTGAAGGGGCTCCCACACAATCTCAGCTGAAGCAGTTAATTATCTGGCTTTCCTGTGGGAGAGCAACGCTATAGAAGTAACCAGGTTGGGAAACCAAGTGTCTTCAAAATCCAATTTTGGCAGTTTATTCCAATTCCCGATTGCACTGGGTGAAGGCTGTTTATAGCCTAACTAAATATTCCAACATTCAGTGGAGATTCTAATGATTCACTCTGGGCAGATGTCAAATTTAGTCGGAATTGTTTTTCAGGCCAAACTCTGTGCGTTTACGATACATCAGTTGTGCAACGTTGAAGTCAGCAAGAGGTCGGGAGGGGGGGGGGGGGGGCGGGAGGGGCATCGTGAATATGCAGCCATGCTTTGGCCCTGACACTCACCAGAATTTAATTCCATTCCTTAAATCTGTGGTCATTTGTATTGAGTAAGGCTGTGTACTGTGTGTACTTTGTGTTATGTGTGTTATGTGTGTTCATTCCAGATTTTAACCTGCCAGATTTCCACCATGGTTCCATACCCCAAAAGGGAGGGGCAAAACAATGCAGCAACTTGGTGTTGCAGCATTGGTTTGCAAAAATGACAGGTGTTCCGTTCCATCATGGGGCTTGAGGGTTTGTTAGGACTGGGGCAGGGGGAAAGGAGGTCTGCTGGTGATTCCATGACCTTTCTGGTCTAAACAAAGACTGAAAGGAAACTACCGATCTCGCCAACTGAACTAAGCTGGATTGAAATTTAGTTTGGAAATCGGCAGCTATTGTACAGAAACTCTTTGCTTGCACTTGACAACCCACTATGGTGTTTTCACCATAGATGGGCTGAATATAAACCAAAATCATATTGAAATTTCCAAGGAAGATGTTGGGTGAAGAGTGTAATGCAGATCATGATCTGACATGTTCTATTTTCCCCAAAGGAGTACACTAGCAACAGACTGTCAGTAATAATACTTGCAGTAGTTACTAGAGACGTTTGTATGCCATCACAATATTCTCATAGGAATGTATGGTATGTTATGCAGTTCTTTTTGTACCATTATTTCTTCTTCTTTTTAATCTACTCTTATTCTCTTTCCCATGATTAATACTGAATATTTCCTGATACCAGTTGTACCTGCATGGCTGCTTTTTCACCTGAAACAGATGTCGTCACACTGGCAAGCATATTGCAGTGCAACCAATAGTTTCTGGCTTTGACTGAAGAATCAGCCAGATGATGCTGAACAGTAACCTCAATCCATCCATTTTCATAACTCTTCACTACATATCACATTTTTACTATCCTAGAATTTCCTCTAATCACATTCCATCCTATATATTTTTTTCATATTTTTGACCCTGTGCAAGGGAGAGTTGGTCCTGGGTGTATGCAAAGGGCTAACCCTGGGGTAGCTAGGAATAGATCAGGGTCAGGTAAACCCTGTAGGTCATCTCTTCAACATCAAGCGCTACGCTACGACCAGCTCAAGGCGCGGACCTACCACGTCTTTGGTAATTATGTCGTTCTGTTTTGTACCCGGTGTATAGTACTACACAATGTCATACATGTAACCTTGTTTCCCTCTTGCATGGGCTGACACCTTGTGTATGCAATGGTTTGGTCCCGGGTTGCATGGGGAGGTTCACCTGGGCTGCAAGGGAGGGTTGGTCCTGGTTGCATGCAAGGGGCTTGCCCTGGGCTAGCTAAGCATAGATCAGGGTCAGGTAAACCCTGTAGGTCATCTCTTCAACATCAAGCGCTACGCTACGACCAGCTCAAGGCGCGGACCTACCACGTCTTTGGTAATTATGTCGTTCTGTTTTGTACCCGGTGTATAGTACTACACAATGTCATACTTGTAACCTTGTTTCCCTCTTGCATGGGCTGACACCTTATGTATGCAATGGTTTGGACCCGGGTTGCAGGGGGGGGGTTCACCTGGGCTGCAAGGGAGGGTTGGTCCTGGTTGCATGCAAGGGGCTTGCCCTGGGCTAGCTAAGCATAGATCAGGGTCAGGTAAACCCTGTAGGCCATCTCTTCAACATCAAGCGCTACGCTACGACCAGCTCAAGGCGCGGACCTACCACGTCTTTGGTAATTATGTCGTTCTGTTTTGTACCCGGTGTATAGTACTACACAATGTCATACTTGTAACCTTGTTTCCCTCTTGCATGGGCTGACACCTTGTGTATGCAATGGTTTGGTCCCGGGTTGCATGGGGAGGTTCACCTGGGCTGCAAGGGAGGGTTGGTCCTGGGTGCATGCAAGGGGCTTGCCCTGGGCTAGCTAAGCATAGATCAGGGTCAGGTAAACCCTGTAGGTCATCTCTTCAACATCAAGCGCTACGCTACGACCAGCTGAAGCTCCAGCATCATCATCCTGGGTAATTATATCCTGGTTTGTATACTTGCGATGCATGTACTCTTAGTGCATCCCTGCAACTTTCCTTTGCATGTCTGATTTCATGTAGACTCTTTTGCCTTTGCATAGTTTTTAAATTTCCATGCAACCGTGGCCACATAGGCCGCTGTTGCATGGTTATGTTACTGAGCAGCTGTCCAATGTTTTGCTCACAACCCCCCAGATAGGTCACCTCAAGCCGCATGGCAGTTGATCCCAAGACTTCTCGGATATGGCAGAACGGTGCCAATGGGTAGAGTATACCTTGGCCGAAGGTGCGTCAGATGTGTCTGTGTTTGCTGGGGGTAGCTCAATGCATGTACTCCAATCATACCGCAAGATGCATTCACTTGCTTCAAGTTTACCGAGTTGGTTGAAATGTGCTCAATATGGGTGAGTGAAGGGGAGATGAGATAAGCAAACAGCATAAAAAGATGCAATTGGCATTGTTTATACCATGTTTCCAGAAGCTTGCTTGCATTGGGTGCCTTGTGATTTGCTCTTTTCACCCTATCTTCATACCAGACCTTGATAGAATTAGCTTTGGAAAAGGGAGGGAGGGGTAGTTCAATGCATGTATTCCCATCAAAAACTTCATGTAGATGCTTGAATCATTTGCTTGAATCAAGTTTACCGAGAGTGTTGGAATGTGCTCAATATGGGTGGGTAATGGGGAGACGAGATAAAGAAACAGCTAAAAAAAAGCAGCAATTTGCATTGTTTATACCGTGTCTCAGGAAGCTTGCTTGCATCGAGCGTCTTGCAATTTTCTCTGTTTTACTTGGGTCTAACAGGTGGATGCTACCTATATTCCCACCAGCCCACTATTTGGGGGGGGGGGGTGCAAGTATTCCAACTAACACAAATACAGTTCACTTACTAGAATCAAGTTTACAGAGTGTTGGAATGTGCTCAATATTGGTGGGTGATGAGGAGATGAGATAAGCAAACAGCACAAAACTGCAATTGGCATTGTTTATACCATATCTCCTGTAGTTTACTTGTATTGGGTGTGTTACAATTTACTCTGGTTCTTGCTAACTTTATTATGTTGCGTATGTTAAAACTTTCATGCTCTTTGCAAACACATGCTATCACCACTCTACTAGTAGTGTGTGACGGATTTGTGTGTTCTGCTGTAATTACAACCCGTGTATAAGGTACATCGACGTGGACACCGCTGCCTGCTAAACCATCACGGGTGCCTGCTCCACCACTGCTCTGAATACCATCAGTTGCGTCATCGCTAGGGATGGGGTAGTGGACCTAAGCCCCATCCCAAAAGTCTACAAGGTAAATATCACCTGGTGATGAGTGCTTAAATTTATCTTGTTAGCAACACTGGCAGATGAGCAGTCCTATTTTTCAGCTCCTCTGTTATAGTGGACATTATTTAGCAAGGGAAGTTTTGAATTTCTACCATAACGTGCACTGTCTAGCCGTAATACTTGTTTGCTAAAGGCCCCGGACTGTAGTGACAGAATGTTTGGGGTGTAAGGATGCCTGGCCCTGATTGTTTGTCAGTCCTGTTTCAATGTAGGGGGTTTGCATGCAGCTTGGAGGGTGTATGCCCATTAAGTTCTGGCCCTGATTGTTTGTCAGTCCTGTTTCAATGTAGGGGGTTTGCATGCAGCTTGGAGGGTGTATGCCCATTAAGTTCTGTCCCATGCATCCAGGCACTGCTTATCCGTGCACCCGCCTTATGTCCCGACATTGACAAAACAAAAATTTATATTCAGCGCACGCTTCCCATATCCCTTCCACGATGCTGTCTGGACGAATTTGCCCGCCCATGTAAAACATTTCCTTGAAAGGCTTTGTGCAGTGGTGTTGGATAAGATAGATAAACTATATGCATTGCACCGTGTTGGTGAAGACAAGTACTTTGTGATAGCATACACTGAAGGCATGATGTAGTAGAATGGTGTTTGATCTATTGCATTTTGTTTTCGAGTTACCCCGGCGCTGCAGATATATCTCCATCGTTTTGTCAAGGAATCACCAGCACCTCCAGCTTCGCCTCTAAAATGCATTGTGCAGTGCTAGAAAAATGGTTCTCCTCACGGCTTCTCCAGTCTTTCATGTCTAAATTCCTTTCCAGAATGCCGCCATGACAGGAGCCATTTTTCTGATCTGCATAACGTAAAGCCCCGATGGAACGGAACACCTGTCACCCAGGGGTATGTTGGAAAAAGGGGAATGTGGTCTCTAAAATTTAATGCTAGTAAAGCTAGATGCAAGACTTGCAGACCAAAAAAGCATCATTAATTTGAAAAAAAAGGAAAACCATAAGAAATATTACTCCCGGTTAAAATCATGAAAAAAACGGAAAATAGGGACAGACCTATCGCCAATTTTTTCAGGGTGGTCGGCCATTTTTGTTTATGACGTCATTGCATACTTTCAGGTGGTCTCCATACAGTTGAATACCTGCCATACAGTTGAATACCTGCCATACAGTTGAGTACCTGCCATACATTCAGATGCCTGCCATACATTCAGATGCCTGCCATACGTTTAGATACCTGCCATAGTTTGATTAAGGTGGCAGCCTGGTCCTAAATTTCATATGGCATTCAATTAGGCCTTGACAGATTATGCTAATATTTTGGTGAAATTATGCTTTTCGCATTGCTGAAAAAATAATTGCAGCATTATGCTATTATTATGCGAAAAGTTATCATATTATGTGGCATTATGCTCACATATGCTGCTAATGTATATGATGGTTCTGTGCAAAATAACAGGTGAATTTTTTTGTAGAGGGCGTTGTACTGTAGTAGCAAAAGTTCAACGGGGTCAACGCACCGTCCGACCTACCTATGACCGTCACCCTGGTCACTGATTGTAGTGGACTGGACATGTTATCAAGTGAGTCGTAAACCTACGCCTTCCTGGTGTGTCCACTTGTACTTGTACTTGTAGAACATGTACAACTGTATGGAATTTGATGCGAACAGGCGGATTAGTCCAATTTTATGCGATTCGTATGCAATTTGCCTCGAATAATGCGATTATTCGATTTTGGTAGGAATTATGCGAAAAATTATGCTAGCATAATCTGTCAAGGCCTAACCCCAGTGTAAGCTTTCCCCAAATCGGCCCGGTGTTTTTCGCCCATTCGGCTTTTCGCTCAGCTCAAAAATACATCAGATTCGGCTGCAAAGTCAGCTGCTTGTTCGAAAATCGACTGGAAAATTGGAATACATGTACATGTATAGTGGAAAATCCGCTAAAAGAATTGTTGGCATATTGGCTTCAATATTGGTGAGATATTGGAAGATTTGGTATATTTTCGGCGATTCTCAAAGGAACCCTCGAAAATCGGCGAAAAGCTTAGCGATTTTTCGATAAGTATCGTTTTCGACGAATTCTTCTGCTGCCAATTTGGAGATTTTACTAGAACCGGTAACGATCTTCCTAATGGTTAATGTTTGTTTGAGAGGAGGTCAAAGGACACGAAGCTTGTACACAATGCTGTTAAAAGTGGGTTTTTTGAACTTTACTTCCTGTTTTGCCTTTCGTGGACCCATAAATGGAAGAGTCCCTATTCATTTCTCAGCTTGGGTTCATATCTGAACATGTATCATGGCTATGCTTCACTGAAAAAAGAGCACTTTTTGCCTGTTTTCACTGAAAAAAGAGCACTTTTTCAGCAAATTTTGAGGGACGCGAAAAGGACTAAGTGCGAATTAAAAGAGCACCTTTGGGAAAGGGCTACCTGCAAGCAAATCAATGCGACCATTCATATTACAGCTGGGTCATGTTATAGACAGGTGCATTGAAATTGGCAGGTGGGCATACATGTACATGTACATGTAAATGGTCAAAAATTGACATTTTCTCATCTTTCTGCCCGTTCAAAGCTCAAAAGCTGACAATGACCACCCTGATCTTGGTGAATAGCCGGGCAAAGGGAAGTGGACAGAGAAAAAGGCCACATTTCTTTAAACAACTCGCCCAGGGCTGATGAAAGCCGAAAATAACCTCTCTCCAAATTTGGCGCCTTTTGGCTGTGGTTCTTGACTTTGCGACTAAACTATTTACAGCAGTGCCAAATACCGGTCACTAAATGGAGGTGCAACCGGCCTACAAGCAGACCAAACATTCAAACCAATGTAACCACTGACATTACAGCTGGGTCATGTTATAGACTGGCACATGTACATTGAAATTGACAGCTGGCCATACACTGTACATGCAAATGGTTAAAAATTGACAATTTCTCATCTTTCTGCCCTTTCGATGCTCAAAAGCTGTCAGTGATCATCTTGATTTTGTTGAATGGCTAGGCAAAGGGAAGTGGACAGAGAAAAAGCCACATTGTTATAAACGATTCGCCCAGGGCTGCTAATTCAGTGCTGAAAGCTGAAATTAAGCTATTCCCAAGTTTGGGGCTTTTTGCCCGTGGTTCTTCAGTTTGCGACTAAACTATTTACAGGAGTCCTAAATTTTATGGATCACTAAATAGGAGTGCCAGCGGCCTACAAGCGAACACAAAATCAAATCAATGCGACAACTCATATTACAGCTGGGTCATGTTATAACGAGGGGTACATTGGAATGACAGATGGGCATAAATGGTCAAAATTGACAATATCTCACCTTTCTGCCCGTTCTAAGGTCAAAAACTGACAGTGACTATCCTAATTTGGTGAATTGCTGGGCAAGGGGAAGCGGTCCGAGAAAAGGCCCCATTTCTGGTAAACAACTCGCCCAGGGCTGCTGAAAGCTGAAAATAACCTACCGGTATCTCCAAGATTGGGGCTTTTTGCGTGTGGTTCTTCACTTCGCTACTAAATTATTCGCAGCAGTGCCAAATAAATTGTATGGGTCTCAAAAACTGACAGTGAACATTCTGATGAAGAGGTTGGTTCGACTTTGGCGATAGTAGGGGAAGAGTGTGTTGCTCCCTGCATGGGAGCTCGCGGTTTTCCTACCGACTTGAATTCTCACTTGACTGGCTCACGACTGCCATCCAGCCCAGGCACACGAGAAGTCCATCGAACCGTCCACTCGGCAAACCTGCAAGAAAGCACCACTCCCTGCTCAATACACAGTGTTTCGGGGAATTCACCCCTCATCAGTTGAGCTTGAGTAGGCTGAGGAAGATTGTGGCTGAAGAGCACCACCTATAAATATAGTGCTCTCCAGGCACAAACATCACCAGGGATACAAACTTACAGAGACGCTCCGTTTCCAGCGCAACAAACACCTCGTGAACACCAGATAGCAGCGTGAGTCAGTGTCGCTCATGGAGGTGCTGAACAAGCGATGAGGACCGTTGGCCATTCACAACGTTGTTGCCTCCAAACCATCTAATTCGCAAGCCCGCGCTGGGGACAACAATGTGAAGAAGAGGTTGGTGCGACTTCGGCGATAGTAGGGGAAGAGTGTCACTGTGTGTTGCTCACGGTTTTCCTGCCGACTTGAATTCTCACTTGACTGACGCACGACTGCCATCCAGAGCACACGAGAAGTCCATCGAACCATTCACTCGGCAAACCTGCAAGAAAGCACCACTCCCTGCTCAATGCACAGTGTTTCGGGGGATTCACACCTCATCAGTTGAGCTTGAGTAGGCTGAGGAAGATTGCGGCTGAAGAGCACCACTTATAATTATAGTGCTCTCGAGGCACAAACATCACCAGGGATACAAACTTACAGAGACGCTCCGTTTCCAGCGCGATATTCTGATGTTGTTGAATAGCTGGGGAAAGGTCAGTGGACTGAGAAAACAGCCACATTTCTCTATGTGCATTGTGCTAGCGCTCTTTGCAACTAGCCGTGTTCTTCGCTCCGTAGCCCCGCTGCAGTGCGATTGGGTTTGTCCCGACTCCCCGTGTACGTGTGGGTGACAACGGTGTCGCCTAGGTATTAGTTGTCGTGCGACAGTCAGTCGTATCGATTTTTTCACTTTTCTTCTTGTCCTGAATGAGAAAGGAGCTGAGTTTGGATTTTGTGCAGTTTAGGATAATAACGGTTAGTCTAGTATTTCTGATGTGTGCCGTTCAGGCGGAAGAGGAGCTTTGATGTTGGCTACGGTGCCATGCTTTCTCCTGTTTATAGTGGTCTGCGTATTCGTCGTAGTCTTGCTATCCTGGGGAACGGAGCTAGTTTCACTAGAGTCTGCTGGCACTGGGCCGCCTGGCCTGCTGGTGGTGTCGACCAGTCGCATGGAGCATTATTTGATCCGCCTGGAGCGCAGGCGAGATTTCCTGCCTCGAGGAACTTCTTGTCCAACTATGAGTGGTCTCAGGAAGCTGCTTCATTCGCCCTGGCGAGTCAGGATGGCTCGGCAAGACCCCATTGCTCAATGAGAGACTGTTTGGACCTCTCGCGGTGTCATGGACGTCCATGCACGTCCATCCACGTCTTGTTCAACTCGTTCTGTGGTGAGTGGTGCCGAATGACTATGGTCTATGGGAGACTACGCTGCATGTTAACTGCTGTGCACCGGTGATTTGTTCTCTTCTCTTTCTGATCTTGGAAATCATTCTAGTTTTCTACACTTCCCGACCGGAGGAAGCGTGTATATTTATTCCGTCCCTGGACACTATCGACCGCGACAAGAGGAATGATGACTTTGTCGAGTCCGTTTCTCAGCTCCTGAATGCTCTGCCGCTGTGGAATGTTGGAAAGAACCACGTCTTGTTTCACTTGTTCGCCGGTGAGTGGTGCCGAATGATCTGCATAACGCAAAGCCCGAATTACTATGGTCTATGGGTGGCTGTGCTGCATGTTGACTTCTGTGCACCAGTGATTTGTTTTGGATTTGAGTAGATCTGCTATAGCGTGTGGCATGTACCAGTATTGCAATAATGACAATGGGCCACATCCTGACACCACATATCCATACACCATGATAACGGAGCCTATGGGGGTGTTGGAATAGCACTTTGAGTCGCTGTTGTTGAATCAACTGTGACACACAAACAAACATTTTGTGGGCGTTCTTTACGTGGTTGTGCAAGCTAATAACTACACGTAGAGAGAATAGGAGAGAAATAGGAGAGAACAAAAAAGGGGAATTACAAGGGAAATAGGAGAGAACTAGGTGTAGAATAGGACAGGAAAAACCAAAAACAGGACAGAATTAGCACAGAAATGGGAGAAAAAGGACAGAAAAAGGAGAGATATCGGGAAAAAAAGGTAGG